TCCCCTCTGCCTGGAACCTGTGGTGCTTTCTCCTCACCCCGCAGTCTCAGATCCAATGCCACATCCTCAGGGAAGTCCTTCCTGACCACCCAGCATGAATTGGGTGCCCTAGCCATTCAGTCATAGCACCCCGTCTTCCCCTCATAGTAATTCTCTGTTTCCTACTTGATGAGTTCATAGTATCTGGCTCTGCACTAAGTGACAGGAATAAGACTTTTCAATTTGGGGGCCAGCGCCGTGGCTCACTTGGTTAATCCTCCGCCTGTGGCGCCAGCATCCCACGTGGGCTCCGGGTTCTAGTTCCGGTTGCTCCTCTTCTAGTCCAGCTCTCTCCTGTGGCCCAGGAAGGCAGTGGAGGATGGCCCAAGTGCTCGGGCCCCTGTACCCGCATGGGAGACCAGGGGAAGCGCCTGGCTCCTGGCTTCAGATCGGCACAGTGCTGGCTGTAGTGGCCATTTGGTGAGTGAACCAGTGGAAGGAAGACCTTTCTCTCTGTCTCTCTTTCTCACTGTCTATAACTCTACCTGTCAAGTAAAAAAAAAAAAAAATCTGCATGTCCCCATGTCATTCCAGGGCTGGACCTAACGCATGACAGAAGGTTGATGAGTTCGTTCTGAGCAGCTGCAGGTGCACGGGCTCAGCCTGTCTGTGTGGCTGGGAGAAACTGTTGAGGCGAGTTGTTGAAGAGGTGGATAGAGGCCTCTCAGAATTGCCTAGAAAATGAATGGCCAGCCAGCGCCACGGCTCAATAGGCTAATCCTCTGCCTTCGGCACCGGCACCCCTGGTTCTAGTCCCGGTCAGGGCGCCGGATTCTGTCCCGGTTGCCCCTCTTCCAGGCCAGCTCTCTGCTGTGGCCCGGGAGTGCAGTGGAGGATGGCCCAGGTCCTTGGGCCCTGCACCCGCAGGGGAGACCAGGAGAAGCACCTGGCTCCTGGCTTCAGATCAGCGCGGTGTGCCAGCCACAGCGGCCATTGGAGGGTGAACCAACGGCAAAGGAAGACCTTTCTCTCTTTCTCTCACTGTCCACTCTGCCTGTCAAAACAAAAAAAGAAAAAGAAAATGAATGGCCACAGAGAACGCCTGTCTGCCGGTTCTTAGGTGGGCAGGATGATCCGCTTCTCTGTGTGTGGGGAGCAACCGGACTAGACTGAGTTACTGGAATTAAGACTTATTCTATGCATCTGCTCTCCCACAATATGGCGCTGGGAGAGAAGTAAACAGCTTCCGCACAGCTGCCTCCAGTTCAACCAATTAACTGTAGGACTTGCTCCTGATTGGAGGAGAGCAGCGTACTCGGCGTGTGGGCAGCCGAGTTGGGATTGGCGGAGGAGGACTATAAAGGAGGAGAGAGACGGCATGCACCAGGAACATCTATGGGGAACATCTAAGGGGAACACCTGTGCAGCCCCCGAGAAGAGCCGGCTACGGTGTGCCGCTCCCCTGCGGAAGTGGGGAATGTGGCCAGGGGGAACTGCCCTTCCACGGAGGTGGAAGGGATAGTAGCCAACCCAGGAAGAACCAGCAGCAAACCCGGGGAGGGCCGAGCAGACGAAAGAACAGCGCAGGGTCCTGTGTTGCTCCTCCACGAAGAGGGGGAGCGACATCTGTGTTTCTGCTGTTCTCTTCTCCAAGCGGCCCTCGTGGAGTGTGGCTGTGCGGCGTCGCCGCCTGCATGCGCCCTGTGCCCTTCTCTATCTGCTTCACAATTTCCTGTCTAGGCCCTTAAAATCTCGATTTGCACAGTTATTTGTCTTTCTGCTCTTCACAGTGCCCTCACGAGGCGGCCTCGGTGCTCTCAGCCCCGAGGACACAGGCCCCACTGAAAAGAGAACACACTTGGAATCAAGCCGGACTGACGTCCGCCGTGCCGGCCGCCCCGCCACAGCCGGGGTCATAAACCGGAGACGTGGCTCAGGCCCCGCCAGGTCTGGGACCTCGCCTTGGTGCTTTGCCAGGAGGGGCTTTTCTCTCCCGAATCTGATGCGGTCATTCTCTTCCCGTGGGCCGGCATTAACTGGGCCCATCCTCCACGGGGTTCCTCAGCAGCCCCTGTGCCAAGCGTGTGGGTACCGTGGGAGGCAGGGGCCCTCTGGATTCCCCATGCGAGAGACGCAAATCTAGTGACAGAAGTTAAGGAACCTGCTAATGCCGAAAGGCGGGGAAGACGTGCATCCCTTAGGTGTCTTACACGCTGTTGGTGAGAGTTCACTGATTCGGCTAGCAAAGCCGAGCACTCACTCCCCCTCTGAGTCTGTAGTTTTTTCTCTGGAGCCTGCATCCTGCAGAGCTCCTGGCACGTGGGCCCAGGCAGGACTCTCTTGAGACAAGGAATTGATCAAAGTATTTTTCAGCAAAAGCTGCAGACTCCCGGGTGCTCACTGCTAGGTGCTCGAGGTGTGCTCAGTGCACCGTGTGGACACCACCAGCAGTGGGTGAGCTCGGGCAGGCCCCATGTGCATGGATTTTTAGTATCAGAACTGGTGGTGTGCTCCTTCTGTTGGGTTCAGAGACTCACATAGTGGAGTAAATCATTGATGAGGCAAGTGTACAGTCTGTGGAGTAGGCCCCTGCAGTCATCCACATGTATGTGTCTCGAGAAAGAGAACACAGCATGCTGCGTTCAAGGTCGTGGCTCCCTACCCCTGGGCTGGCAGGGGAGCTCTGTGCCAGGAGCGCCAGGCAGCACGAGTGGTAAGCGAGTGGGTACTGGGCTCTTGATTGCTTCTCACGCTCCAGTTTAAAACCCTCCTACACGGAGGCAGAGGTGGGCTGGCCAGTGCTGTCTGGAGTGGCCCAGGAAGTCCTTCCTCGAGCAGCAGGTAAAGGATGAACGGAATTTGCCAGATGGGAGGAATCCCAGGAAGAAGCCCCCAGGACACAGAAGGAGGTGATCAGAGCCACTGGGTGTGGGTCCATTGCTGGTGGCCTCATGGGTTAGTGAGCATGTGGGACAGAAAGTTCTACACTGCGCTGAAGGCCTGGCCTGGGAGTGGGATTTCAGCTGGGGGCTTTTCAGCAGAGCGCTTGCTGGGGCAGCAGGGGGCGAGCCAGGAGGCAGTCTCACAGCTCACAGCAGCTGTGACTGGAGGGGGTGAGTGTCATGAGGTGGAAGATAGGAGCCTGTATGGAAGTTGGTGACAACGACATGCATCATTAGACGTGCATTGTACCGAGCTGCCCTGGAGGAGGGAGGCGGCTGGGGGTGGGTAGCGGCAACACGCCAGCTCCCCGGGCTGCTGCGGGCAGCTAGGGAGGCAGACTGGCGACTCGGGCCCGACTCTGCTTGTAGACAGTGCCTCGTGTAAGCTGATCGTTTCCACTTTCTCTCAGTCACATTCCTGGACATCTTATTTTCCCATTGCCTTGCAGACAGTTTCAGTGATGTTTTATGTTTCTTTTTGATTGATCTTGGCTGTGGCTTTTGACACCGGCCTTCTCACTTTCTCTGCCCGCTGACCCCTTGGTTAGGTAGTTAATGATCTTTAAACAAACACTTGCCATGAGGGCTCTCCAGGAAGGGTCCTGGGCTCGTGTGCTGTGAGCACAGCATTTGCCCTCTGTCCCGGGAGGACGGGGACGCCGGCCCCTCACTGTCAGAACCTCTGCAGTTGGCAGTTTCTGACGGCAGCTTTCTGAAATGCCGTGTACGTTTCTGTTTCATTAAAGGGAAAGCGTGAGCACGATCTCATCTCATCTCAGTGATCACAGTAGGAACGTTTGTCCAGGTCGTGAACATTAGTAGGACCTGTCCGTGTCTGTTCCTGATTTACAAACTGTGGAAGCAGAAATCCGCCCGTGCAGGAGTCCGTGTGAGCCTTCAGAAGCCGAGATAAGATCGGGTTACTCCCGTAGCTCAGCTCCTGGGGTGACTTCCGGGCCCTGCACAACACTGCATGGGGCCAAGCCCTGACCTTGCTCCCCTGCCCTTGCTCCCTGCCCTCCCCTGCAGCAAGCCCTCCTGCCTCTTTGTTTATTTCTCCTACTCAGGCTCTCCAAGCTGCTTCTGTCTGCAGGCCTTGGCTCTGCCTCTGTGCTGGGGTCTGCGCTCAGGCGCCTCTGCAGGGATGCCTTCCCTGACTGCCCGCCCCAGTCACCACAGGTGGTGTCTGTAGCACGTGCTGTAGGTAGTACTTAAGAGCGCACTGTCTCATTCTATTAGATTATGTATTTGCGTGCATGTCATTCTGTGTGTTAATTTCATTTATATGGATATATAACTTGAGTTAATATTAGGACATAATATTATGTAGAATTTCCCAGTATATATAATTGTGGTGTTGCTTCTAGATATCAAACTCTTTGAAAACACAACTTACCCTATTGCTCCCCCACAACCCCGAATAAAGCCTGGCACACAGTAGGTACTCAGGAACTGTATGTCAGATGGCTAAAGAGAGGCCCTGCCCTGGAGAAGGCCCCCAGTAGGTAGACGAGGACAGGGTAGATAGTGACAGGCAGCGGGCTGGGATAGCTCAGAGACTGGAGTGTCACCGCAGAGACAGGGACAAGCCTACCCACCCGGGATCTGGGCAAACTTTCCAGAGCCATGGTGCCTGGCCTGGGATTTGAAGGGCAGATGGGCATGGCATGGCAGGCTGAGGAACTGGGCCACGGCAGGTAGAGTCCGAGGCCAAGCCTTTCCAGAGAGCTGGAAGTACCGGGATGGTTGATGAAACGGGAGTAACCTGGAAAGACGCAGCCTCGGGTAGAAGGAACTGTGGTGGCCCCGGAGTCGGCTGCCGTGAGTCCTGCCCTCAGTCTTGGAATGGAGAAAGACTCAGAGAGTGAGGCCTGCCCCGGCTTTGCCTGGCAGCTCTGGGCACCCAGTTCACAGAGGGGTGCCTCCCCTGGTCCAGGAGAACGTGCCCTGGCTGGTCCTGTCTGTGCCAGAGCACAGCAGGTGTTAGTGAGCCCAGGGCAGGGGTTTCTCTGGCTGGGGCCCCTTCTCGCCCCTCGATGTGTGTTGGTCTCATGCACTCTCTCTCTTGCTCTTAATCAGGTGGTGAAGAAGGTGAAGTCCATGCAGATGTTCCACATGCCCGTGACCTCAGCCATGCAGGGAGACCGGCTGGGCATCTGTGTCACGCAGTTTGACCCTAAGCTGCTGGAGCGTGGGCTGGTGTGTGCCCCTGAGTCCCTGCACACTGTCCACGCGGCCATCATCTCCGTGGAGAAGATCCCGTATTTCCGGGGGGCTCTGCAGACCAAGGCCAAGTTCCACATCACAGTGGGCCACGAGACAGTCATGGGCCGCCTGATGTTCTTCAGCCCTGCCCCTGATGCTTTTGACAACGAGCCTGTGCTGGACTCCTTCGACTTCTCCCGGGAATACCTCTTCCAGGAGCAGTACCTTTGCAAGGATTCAGCAGGTCCCATGACGGACAGGGAGGAGGCTGACAAGAAAGAGGGCCCGGCCACTGAGGGCCGCTGCCCTCGGCAGCAGTGGGCCCTCGTGGAGTTTGAGAAGCCCGTCACCTGTCCCCGGCTGTGCCTTGTGATCGGCTCCAGGCTCGATACGGACATTCACGCCAACACGTGCCGGCTGGCCTTCCACGGCACCCTGCTGCACGGGCTGGAGGCCAAGGACTACGCCGAGAGCTTCCTGCCCACACTGAAGGTGTTCAAGCTGAAGCACAAGCACGGCCTCGTGGAGCGGGTGAGCATCTTGCCCCCTGCCATTGCCCCTTCCTCCCTGGTGCCCTCAGAGACATTTGGGCCCCAGCCTCTGGTATCTAGACAAGGAAGGAGCCCAAGTTCTGTGGGCCAGCCAGTCACAGCCGGGGCCCCAGCCTTGCACTCATTCATGTGGTGCAAGTCACCCCAGTAGATCCAAGCAGACCTGGCTCCTCCGTGCCAACGTCAGACAGCAGCATTAGTACTGGCCTCCTGAGTCCTGTCACCCCTCACTCAACCGGGCCCTGGCTCTCCTGCCCTCAGTGGGCAGTGCGCCTTCATCAGACTGAGTGGCCTCCTGTGTCCACCCCAGGCTTTCCGTGTCCAGAAGGGAGCAGTGTCCATTGGTTCAGATCAGGCCAGGTCTGTCCTACCTTGCAGGGTAGGAAAAGGGACTCGTGGAGGTAGAAGAGGGAAAGCACAGGAAATGACACTGGGGATGGGAGGGTGCAGCCACTGACCTTGTAGGGTGCCTCAAGTTCATTGTCACTGGGCATAGACCTTAGACACATGGGTAGGCCAGTGTAACTTATGTGCCTATCACTAGAGTGGACAGAACATGCAGGTCTGCCGCAAGTCTTGGAATCACCTCTCCCATATGACATCTGCCCACACCATCCGTCCATGCCGCTGTGAGCAGAAACCCGCGGCCACTGGGCCTTGAAGGCTGGCTAGATGGGCAGCCAGACCTCACTGTCCCTCACGGCTGGCCCCTGGGTTTGCTCTCAAACCTGTCAGGTGTGCAGATGTGGCTCTGGTGGCCCTTGCCTGGGCTTTACCTGACTGAGCATGGGGCACTGGAGAGCCCAGGGTCGGGGCCAGGCCCCTGGCAGGGTCTGTGCTGAGGCTTTGAGCCAGCGCCACAGTTCCTCGCGGCAGCATGGCGGCAGCTGCCATCCCCTGGCCCCAGTCTTGGAGTAGACATCAGCACAGCGTGCGGCCGCACGGAGTGGGTGCTGTGGGGGCAGAATCAGGGTGGCAGGCTGCATCGGTTTCCATGGCTCGCCCTCCCTTCTTCCAGGCTCAGAAAGTTTCTCCTCTGGAATGTGCCATCATTGCAGACTCTTGCCCCCTCCTCCACTCAGGGACTCGTCCTAGTGCTCACGTCCTGTCCCCAGACCCAAACCCACCCTCAGCCGGGGACATGAGAAGCTGCCCCTTCGTTCCCTTCATTGCCCTCTCCCACACCCAGAACGCAGGGTCCTGGGCCTTGTGAGGCCTTGGGGCCTGCTCAGGGGCTCCAGCAGCCTGCATCCAGCCTGGGATGCTGATTGGAGCTGAAGGTGATAAAGTGTGTGTCGCTCGTTTGTCTGGCTTGATTTATTAGTAGCATTATGGAGTATAATTATTCTGTAGTAAAATGTCTGCCCGCTTGGTACGGCCGCTGCCTCTGATTGCTCCCTCGCAGGCCCGTCCACTGTGGCGCAGCCTTCACTTCCCGTGAGCCTGAGTGAGCTGTGAGCAGCAAGTAGCAAACTGGCAAAGTGACTCAGGCCTCCGCAGGGCACCAGGGAGGGGCCGCAGACATGTGCAGTGTCCTCCGGCCACCAGCCTCAGCCTGCTCAGTCCGGGGAGGCTGGAAGTGGAGCCACAGGCTCACACAAGTCTGAGTCCAAACCCCAGCTGCACGACCCTGGGTCGTCACAGTCTTCTGCCACCAGCTTCACGGAGGGACTGTGGGTGTGTGGAGGGGTCCTGGGAGCCAAGGCTTTTGGAGAGGGTTTTCCCAAAGCCCCTGCAGGAAGGAAAGGAGTTGGGTGCCCAGGCTGGGACCAGTCCCCACCACTCCCAGCTCCTCAGTGCTGTCACTGAACGGGTACCCGTCCCGACGCCAAGGGCTGGCTGCAGACCGAGTCGCCATGACACTTGCTCCCCCTGGGCCCAGGGGCAGGAATAAGCCCGCTTCCCTCCACCCCTTCCCCACCCAACTGCAGCATCTACTGTGTGCCTTCACTAGATGCCTCCATTATTCTGAAGCCTTCAAATGACTCTCAGTGGTGGTGATTATTTTTGTTTTGATGCGTTTTTTTATAATTAAGTAGATCACTTACCGCCTCCTAAATCACATGTAACTATTTATGTACTTGTCAAGAAAAACCTGGATAGATCAAAAAGTGACTTAGAGTCAATTTTCTTCCTATTATGAACCCAGGCCAGGAGGCTCCTCCCCAGCGTGGGGCAGCCAGACTGAACCAGCTTGAGGGATGGGAAGTGACTTGCCCAAGGTCACATGCCTATAAAGTCAGGATTCGAACCCAGGGCGGGCCAGCATGGGGCTGGGATCTTTCCACTGTACTGGAGAGGCTCTTGCCCGGTGTGTCTGGAGACTTTCTCCCTGGTGCACTTGGTAAGGCGCTGGGCCTGACGCGGACTCTCCGGCCCTGTAGTAACTGTCTCCATTTGTTCGTTTGTGCGAAGGGCAGATAGTCTCGAGCTCTCAGAGTTGTTTAGCGCTCTCACTCACAGGAAGCACAGGCAGCCTCCCTGTGCAGCTCAGGATAGCAGCCTGGCTGTGTCCTGAGTGGCAGCCCTGCTGCGGTGAGCGGGCCCCAGGTGGCCCAGGCATTCTGCAGCTCAGCTGAGGCTCTGTGCAGACTGGGCAATGTGCAGACCTGGGCTTTCTTCAGTGTCCCCACCTCCCCAGGCTGGAAACCTGGGCGGGTCCTGGGCCTTTGTCCTCACCTGGGTCTCCTTTCCTGTCCAGTGGGATTTCACAGCTCTGCGCGATGGGGCCAGTGGCAGGTGAAACCAGACATCACACAGAGGCTTCCAAGACCAGTGCTTGGCACCTGTTTCCTGCTTATGGTTTTATTATTAATGTTTTTAAATTTTTTAAAAATTTATCACCACTTCACATATTTTTTAAAGATATATTTATTTATTTGAAAGGCAGAGTTACAGAGAGGCAGAGAGGGAAAGAAGTCTTCCATCTGGTGCAAGACTCTCCCCCAAATAGCTGCAACAACCAGGGCTGGGCTGAACCGAAGCCAGGAGCCAGGAGCTTCTTCCAGGTTTCCCATGCATGTGCAGGGGCCCAAGCAGTGTTTTTCTAGGCCATAGCAGAGAGCTGGTTTGGAAGCAGAGCAGCTAGGACTCGAACCAGCACCTATATAGGATGCCGGCACTGCAGGCTGCACCTTTAGTGGCCATGCCACAGCGCCAGCCCCTATTTTTAATTTTTCTGAAAGATTTCTTTTAGAGGCAGAGTTACAGAGAGAGAAGGAGAGACAGAGGTCTTCGCTGGCCATGTGGCCGTGCTTCCTGAGTGCATTATAGCCACCCTGAGCTTCCTGTGCCTCCGCCCAGAGGGGCGGTCAGGGCATGGTGAAAAGGTTTAACATGATCTGGATGGGACCTGCACCACCACAGCCGCTGGCTCCCCTCCCTCTGAGACACTGGGCAAGCTCCGCACCTCTGCTCCCCAAGCACAGTCAGCTTCTGGGAAGCTCGGCTTGGACCCCTGAGCTGCCCCAGGTTCTCAGGAAAGAAGGCCTCACTGTCTGTCAGCCAGCGGCTAAGGCACAGAGGGCTCCCGAGCCCACCGCCTGTAAAAGGCGTCAGTGATTCCTGTCGTCAGCGTGTGCCAGGCCCTGGGGTACGAGAGATGCGGCCTTGTCCTCACCGGGGAAGCTGACCGTAAATGCTAGGGTGCAAGAGGAAAACAACAAAGTGATGTGAACACTGCTTGGCACATGGAAGCTGCTCACTCTGCCTCTGTTTCCTGCTTCCCTTGCCCCACGTAAGATTGGTCAGGTACCCCAGCAGGTGTCCACCTCGTGGCAAACCGTGACCGGAAGGCCAAGCCTGAGCAACTCTTCTTGCCTAAAGTATAATCATCTTAAAGCAAGCTCATTTTCTCTACATCCTTTTTCTCAGCTCTGTGATCAGACACAACTTAATTAATTTACCATTGACAAATGGTCTTCCTCACTTGGTGAACAAATGAACCATTTGGAAACTTATTTTGATTGTAGCTTCATTACTGTTTGTGTGTGTATGTGTGTGTGCACGTGTCAGTTGATGAGATGGACTGTTTTAAATCTTCTCATTTTTCCAACTGTTGTTTTTAAAGATTTATTAATTAATTTGAAAGTCAGAGTTACACAGAGAGAGAGAGGTCTTTCATCCGCTGGTTCACTCCCCAGTTGGCCACAATGGCTGGAGCTGTGCCGATCCGAAGCCAGGAACCAGGAGCTTCTTCTGGGTCTCCCACGTGGGTGCAGGGGCCCAAGGACTTGGGCCATCTTCCATTGCTTTCCCAGGCCATAGCAGGGAGCTGGATTGGAAGAGGAGCAGCCAGGACTCGAACCAGCACTCACATGGGATGCCGGCACTGCAGGCAATGGCTTTACCCACTGCGCCACAGTGCCAGTTCCCCCACCAAGTCTCTTTTTTTTTTGGACAGGCAGAGTTAGACAGAGAAAGAGAGACAGAGAGAGAGGTCTTCCTTCCGTTGGTTTACCCCCCAAATGGCTGCTACGACCGGCGCCAATCCAAAGCCAGGAGCCAGGTGCTTCCTCCTGGTCTCCCATGCGGGTGCAGGGCCCAAGGACTTGGGCCATCCTTCACTGCCTTCCCGGGCCACAGTAGAGAGCTGGACTGGAAGAGGAACAACTGGGACAGAATCCGGCGCCCCGACCGGGACTAGAACCCGCGGTGCCGGCACCGCAGGCGGAGGATTAGGCTAGTGAGCTGTGGTGCCGGTGCCCCACTAAGTCTTAAAACTGTGACATTTGAAGTCTATTTTTTTTTTTTTTTTGACAGGCAGAGTGGACAGTGAGAGAGAGAGACAGAGAGAAAGGTCTTCCTTTTGCCATTGGTTCACCCGCCAATGGCCACTGCGGCTGGCGCGCTGCAGCTGGTGCACCGTGCTGATCCAATGGCAGGAGCCAGGTACTTATCCTGGTCTCCCATGGGGTGCAGGGCCCAAGCACTTGGGCCATCCTCCACTGTACTCCCTGGCCACAGCAGAGAGCTGGCCTG